CTTTTGTACAATAGACCAAAACACTACCTGGCCCTCTGTCATTCTCATGATCAGCAGCCTATGTGAGTCTACCACTGCAGCTATTGTGCCAATCCATCTCCCTGGCTCTTTCTGGCCCCCTACTTCACCAAACGTGATGTCCTCCTCCAGAGATTGACCTCTCCTAGTGACATGTCCAAAGCATGTGAGTCACACAATGCCCTGTTGTGATCCATAAGATTTCCATTGGCTAATTTTCAGAAGTATATCACCAGGTCTTTCTCTCTAGTCTGTGTTAGTCTGAAAGCTCTGCTGGTACCTGTCCACTATGGGTGACCTTGCTGGGATTTGAAATACCGGTGGTATAGCTTCCAACAGCATAGTAACATGAAAGTGCCTACAGTACGACAAGGAGCTCTGGTAGCATAGTGCCTAAGGCACTTGACTACTAACTAGAAGGCTGGAGGCTCAAACCCACCAGCCACTCCTTGGAAGGAAGATGGGGCAATCTACTTCCGTAGTGATACCGCCTCGGAAACCCAAGGAGGGGTCGCTATGAGTCGGGGCCGACTCGACGGCACAGAACAACACCAACAACAATGGTGCCACAAACTGACAGATGAGTGATGGCTGGCAGCCACCAGAAATCAAAATCATGAGGCTGTTTTTAATGAAGTAGGAAATTGTTTACTATGCTAAACGGAAAAGGAGAACCCAGGATCACTATATGAGGTTAAATGAAAAAAAGTACAAAGTGATTCCAAAACACAGCGTTGCAGAGAAGGAAGGAAATGGGCAGGGAAGCGGATGGGGGAAGGAAGGTGGACGGTGAGGCCTCCGAAGGCAGTGCAGGCAGTAGGGCTGGGATTGGGAGCAGTGGGAGGGGACAGCCTGGAACCTGTCCTACTGGGGCTACTATTTTGTCAGGGCCTTTGCTGGCTTGCCCCCGACTCCTGGGGGCCCCTGGACAGCCCTGAGTGTGGCGCTAGTGGAGTCAGACACCAGGGACCAGTGCGGTCTGTGAAGTGGCAAGAGGTCTACAGGACCCAGGGGCTCTGTCAGCTAGAGTCCCCTGCCAGTCGCTACCCTCTGTGGAAGTGAAAGCCCTAGTGCCTCTGATTTTGATAGCCAGCCAGCGGCTTTGCTCTGAGGGATGGGATAGGACACATGAGCTGCGACGGCTGATGGCCAGAGGGGTGGCCTCAGGAGCTCCCAGTGCTCAGAATGGCTGCAGAAGGACCCAGAACTGGCACCAACCTCCCCTGCAGTCTCACAGTCTTCACACCAAGGAGCTTCATCACCAGTGGAGAAACTAAGACACAGACAGCTCACGTGTGCAGGAACACACTGCTTATAAGGGCAAACCTGCCTCCATGCCTACCTCTTGACCACAAAAAAATAACAACAATAGCAACAATGGCCAAGGTGGACTGTGCCCCTTCTCAGGGTGGCTGAGATATCCTGTGCAGGGACTTGTGAGGGCTCGAGGGACTGCTCAGCCACACTTGAATCAGTGGGAACACTGGCTTACACCAGGAAAGGGCACAGCCACACGCCGTGCTGAGAGGCTTTGCTGTTAAATTGGAGGAAAATGTCTTTAACTATTTCAAAGGCTAAGGATAGAAGGAATATTGTTTTTCATTTGCCCTGCAATGAAATCTAGGATCTTCCCATACCTCAAGCCCCAGAAACCTGGAGTCTAAATTTAGATTGTCCTTAGGGGGCGTCACTGGCTCACCCTGGGGCAGGGTCAGCTAGCAGCTGCTCAAGATAAACTTTGCTTTTCTGTTGACTCAGCCCTTTTTCTCACACAATTAATGAGGCCCCGCCCCACTTCCCTTGGGAACGCAGAACAATAGTTTTGGAGAAGCAGGTGGCCTTGGCCAGAGCTCCGGCGCTCCAGCTCTTTGCCCGAGACCAGAGTCGCACGCCTCTGCCCCTCTCCACCCCCGACTGTGGCCAGCCCTTTGTGGCCGGGATGCTTCAGGCACTGGCCGCCTTCTGCCCCTGGGACGCCAAGCGCCTCACCGCCCCTGGGCTCTTGCACCAGCTGTTCCTCCTGTCCCGCCTGGCAACAGGATCTTTGCTGAAATGCCCCCTCCATGGAGATAGACAGACCACCCTCTAGACAGACCACCCTGACAGTCTCCAACACACTCCTGCACTGGCCTTGCTGAGTCACTACTTGGTGGCTCATTCTCCGCTCCTTATTGGCAGGAACTTCCTGGAATGGGTCTTCTGCTCAGAGAAGGGGTTCCGGGGCTCACAGTAGGTAGGCAGGCAGGAGCTCTTCCACCAGTGGAAGGAAGGACAGTGGGTCATGCGTCTCCTGGGTCTGGGATAGGTCAGTGGGCGGCCACTGCAATCTGGGATGGGTTTGTGGGAGCCGCCTCAGACGTTGGCTCCGCAGTGGTCAGAGCTGTGCCTGACTTGGTGGCCACGCCTGGAGGGCAATACTCCAGCAGTGTCTGTGGAGGACAGCAGACTGGGATTAGGTGGAACCTTGGGTTTTTCTACCAGGCCCACAAGGTGCTGTGAAGCTGTCCCCAGAGAGCTGTGGGCTTGCAGGCTGCAGATGGGCCCTGACCAAGTGGTGGAGAGAGGGAGGGCAGGTGGGCGGGCTGCAGCCCTGCAGCTGGCTGGAGGGGAAGCGCAGCCCGAGGTCAGCGGGATCCATGGGCTCCTCCCCACAGGCCTGGCTCCTGCCCGGAGCAGCTGCATGGGGACGGCCACTGTGTATGTGGATCCTTCTGTGGGATTGTCCTGGGTACTGGTGGGGAAGATGGACAGGCAATGGTTCCTTTTCAGGGCCTTGGGAGCCCCGCTGGGGGACGGGACAGAAAGCCTTCCTGGAGGAAGTGACCTTGGCAGTGAAACACAGAGGAAGAGCAGGAAGCAACCTGAGGTGCCGTGCTGCAGGCTGAGGAGGCCGTGGATGGGCAAGGGAGGCCCGTCTGAGGGCCTAGGAGCATGGAGTAGGCCCGTGGATCTTGCCGAGCCCAGTACTGCCAGGCTGGCCACTCCCCACGCCTGCAGAACACAGCAGCCTGGCCGCTCCTGGGGGGCAGGCAGCACCTTATATACGGGCAGCGGAGTCACAGAGCTCTTTGGGCAGGGTGTGGCCCCGGAGAGGCCCAGTGGCTCTGCAGAGAATGGCCTAACTAGGTGCGAGCAGGGACCAGGGGGTCTGGGAAGGCCATGGGGATTGCCTTGGGAGATGTGGAAGGGCAGGGGTTGGCGTGACCCTGGGTGAGGTTCCTAGATTGAGGGAGAAGGGTCCTCATAGAGAAGGGAGTGGTCCTTGGATCTAGCAGGTGGAAAGCAGTATGAAGAGGGGTCTAGGTGGAGACAGTGCCTCTCTGACCCCATCCTGCGGGGAGGGCTGGATGAGAGTCAGGAGGAGGAGCAGGAGGCCCCCTCACACTGCAGCTCACGCCCCCAGGGTGCAAACTCGCCTCCAGCACCTCCTCATGCTCAACAAGTCGGGCGCTGGCCTCAGCACAGTGTGCCCCTCAGAGACAACTGAGGAGAAGACACCCAGGTTCAGGAGGGAGAGGTCTGTCGGGGCCCCATGTCCGTGGCTCACCTCAACACCATGCCTTCTCCATGGAGGGCCCCGACCAGCAGAGCTGAGCACTTTGGACCAGAAAAAAGAACAGGCGTCCCAGTGGCCTCGTATCTAGGCCGGGAGTCCAGGCTTTGCTGGAAACAAAGCGACTGACAGGAAGTGGGGACGGGGCCACTGTGCCAACACAGGCTGTGGATGCCAGAGCCTTGTGCCCCCACTCGAGCCTCAGGGGGCCCTGCGCATCCACCCCAGTGGACCTTTCGAGAAACTCTTGGGTCATTGTGCAGAAGAATGCCCGGAAATCCCGCGCCTCCTGCCTCTAGCGAGGATGGGGGCTCTTCCTCCAGGCCAGGAAACTCCAAGTTGGCTTCCGGAGGTCGGTCTGGGGCTGGGGCACCACTGAGACTGGTGGGAGGGTCCCTTGTGTCTAAGTGTGGGCCTCGGGGAGGACAGCCTGTGGCCTGGGTCACTTGGGAACACTGGGGACTTCCTGAAGTGCTGTCCTGAGTGGAGCCTCAAAGGGGGTGGGCTCCATCACAGGAAATGGAGCAGCCCATGCAGAGCGCAGAGGTCTGGAAAGCCCCGAGCTGGGGCAGGGCGAGGGTCTCCCGGGGGGCGGAAAGGCGCCTGTGCCCGCCTTCCTCCCAGTTGGGGCTGGGGCCTCAGGTCCCAGGAAGGCAGTGAATGAGGTGGGCGGTGGCACTTGGCAGGACCTCAGATGAGGAGGCTAGGCCCTGGGTCTGCCTGGGACCCTTGCCTGGCACAGCCCTGGGAGGCGTGGGATAGTGAGAGTGAGGAGGAGGAGCTGGGCTGCAGGACTGGACTCTGGCTTCCTGGAGAAATAGGCAGTGCTGTGCTGTCCAAGGCGCAAGGAGGAGGCTAGAGTCCCCCCACCCCCTCACCCAGGCCTCTGTGCCGCTGGGGCGGTGAGAGGAGGAGGCTGCTGCAGGCTTTGGCCCACGGAAGAGAGGCCACAGGGGAGCTGGCCTGCGTAGTGGTGACCACCAGCCCAATTTCCGGAGGCGGAGGCTTGGCCAGGGGCGGGGGTAATAGCAGACCCAAGGGTCCTGTAGTTCCTGAAGTGACACGGGATACATAGGGAGGTGGCCCGCTGAGCGCGCAGCCCAAACTTCTCCGACAGCGCAGGAGTGGCGTCCCGGGCGGCGGCCGGCCAGGGAGTGGCTCTGGCGCCCCCAACTGCCCCCCTCCCTACGCGCCTTGTTTCCCTAACTCCGGATGCCTGGGGCCTGTAATTGGCTGTGGTGCGACGGCCCCTGCGCGGATTGGCTGCTAGGGGCCCGGGGGCCGAGTCCCGAGGGCAGAGTCCACCCCCAAGCCTTCAAAAAGGGAGACCCTGGCGGCACCTGCAGACCGAGGCGGTGCGCTTGGGCCGCTCGACCGAGCCGGACCGCTGGCTGAGAGCGGGCGCGCGGGCGCAGAGGCCCCGGAGCCGCCGGGCGCGCGTCTCTCCAGCGATGGGATCGGCAGCGCTGGAGATTCTGGGCCTGGTGCTGTGCCTGGTGGGCTGGGTGGGCCTGATCCTGGCCTGCGGGCTGCCCATGTGGCAGGTGACCGCCTTCCTGGACCACAACATCGTGACGGCGCAGACTACTTGGAAGGGGCTCTGGATGTCGTGCGTGGTGCAGAGCACGGGGCACATGCAGTGTAAGGTGTACGACTCGGTGCTGGCGCTGAGCGCCGAGGTGCAGGCGGCGCGCGCCCTCACGGTGGGCGCCGTGCTGCTGGCGCTGGTCGCGCTCTTCGTGACCCTGGCGGGCGCGCAGTGCACCACCTGCGTGGCCCCGGGCCCCGCCAAGGCGCGCGTGGCCCTCACAGGGGGCGCCATCTACGCGCTCTGCGGGCTGCTGGCGCTCGTGCCGCTCTGCTGGTTCGCCAACATCGTGGTGCGCGAGTTCTACGACCCTGCCGTGCCCATGTCCAAGAAGTACGAGCTGGGCGCGGCGCTGTACATCGGCTGGGCGTCCTCGGCGCTGCTCATGTGCGGCGGCGGCCTCGTGTGCTGCGGTGCCTGGGCTTGCGCGGGCCGCCCCGACTTCAGCTTCCCTGTCAAATACTCCGCGTCACGGCGACCCACGGCCACTGGCGACTACGACAAGAAGAATTACGTCTGAGGGCTTCCCGCACGAGAGACGGCCTCCGCTGGGCCGCGCAGGCACAGGCCCAAGGTAGCGTCCCGCGAGGACGGCCCTGCTCTGCCGGCAGCCCAGCGGGCGTCTGCGGGGACTGGATTTCTTTCCCCTGCGCAGTGCTGGCTCCCATGGAGGTGGGACTCGGTTCTGAAAGGGCACGAGACTGAAAACGCTGCTTCCCTCGGGGTCTGGGATGCTGCCTTCCTCCCCAGGGGCTGCTGCTGGTTCCAGAGCGGGATCGGAGAGCCCAAGGCCAGCAGCCTGGTTGGCCAGGTCCTGCCAAGGGACATGTTCAGCGGCCTTTACTCTATCAATGGGCCTGAGCCAGGCGAACCAAGAGATTTGACCTGGACCCCCAGCCTCAAGCCAGCAGCTCCCAGTGAGGCCTGAGGGCTGGAACCTGGAGCTTTCTCCCGGACAGCTTGGAGTGGGAGGGGAGGGGCTAAGAATCTGCTTGGTAAATAAACACCCTCCACCTTGTGTCCTGTCCTCTGTCTAGTCATCGCCTATGTCCCAGCAGCCACCACCCACCCACCTTCTCCTCCCTAAATTTCCTGGGCTACCCCGAGGGCCCAGAGTCGATGGCCTTATCGCTGGCCCTCCCTGCGCACTGCCATCTTCCTGCCTGCTCTCCGGTGGGGGACACAAGGCCTCTGATTGCCACTTTGAGCCAGGACACGGAGACCTGCAGTCAGAAGAGCCACTGCTGGGTCATGGGGACAGGAGCCAGGTGGGGAAGGCGAGGCAGCCTCCCAGCAGATGTGACGGGGAGTTGGGTGGGGTGCGGAGGGAGAGGCGGTGCCTCAGCAGGCAGCCTGCTGGCTTTGCCCAGGAGGGGCCAGGCTGCAGCACCGTGCTTTCTACTCGCCCTCTCTGGGATCATTCTCTGCAGCCCATCCAGTGGGTCACAGACAACACTGGACCATGGCCCCTTCCCTCCAGAGGGGGGCAGGAGGGGTGACTCCAGGCTGCGCGGGCTTCAGGAGAGCTCTGCGGCAGCTGCACGTTGATAACCACGTTGCCGTGGGAAGGACCAGGCGCTTCCCAGGGCCCCTCGCGTGAGCTCCAGCCTGGTGGTGCTAGGATCCTCCGGCATTGATGGCATAGCTCTGTGAGGGGCAGGCCTGTGGCCACCCTGCTGGCCTGGGACTAACCCAGACTGGCCGCCAGCACCTGTGCCAGCCCTGCCGCCGCACTCTGTGTGACCTTCCTCCTGTAGGCACCAGCACTATCCTGGTACCGGGGGGTATCCTAGAAGGGCAGGGCAGACCACAGCTATTTTGAAGTTACTATGGCTTGCTTTTCCAGCTTTGTTCTGGGTACTTTGAAGTAAAAGCATTTTTATCTTTTCCCAAGAGGCTAGAGCGGGAGTTGGGAGTGCCAAGGCCAGCAGCAGGAAGGCTTGGCCCTGTCCCCAGCCCTGGCTAGCCTTGGAGCCCTGCTAAGAAGTGTCTGGGCTGTGTCCAGGTAGGGGGTCTCCCGAGCCTGGCCAGGCTCCTTGTGAAGGGGAAGGGCCCAGAGAAGGTGGAAAGAGCCTTTATGAACATTGTGGCAGGTTCCTGGGAGTCAGAGAGAAGCAGCTGGGTGGGCTGGCCAGGGAGGCTGAACTTTCCACCGGCCTTGGCGCCTCCAATGGGACGAGCTACAGCAACATGGGCCCTGGTACAGAAGAACTTGCCGGAACTGTAGCCCCCCCGGGCCTGTGTAGTAGGGACCAAGAATAGTCCCTGAGTCCAGGTGTCCGTGACACTGCATCCAAGGTATTCGTATCACTGCCTCTGGTTCCTGGGACAGGACAGAGCTCAGACAGGCTGCTTGGCTGAGGAGCCAGGCCTGGAGGTCGCCAGGTGGGGCCCCAGCCCACAACAGCCCCTCCCTAGTGCACAACATGGCCCTGCTCTCATCAGGCCCAGGCGTGGCTCTAATTCCCAAGGGCAGCAGGACGGCCTCTGAGCTTTCCCAAGTGGCCAGGTGGGTAGCTTGCGGGCCCCGGGGAGCCAGGCTGTTGCCAGCCAGACCCATGCCAGGGGGGCAAATGCCCACTTGTGGCTGGGGCCTGACCAGCTCTGGGGCCCAGTGCGAGCCAGCCCCACCTACCTGTATCCTCACCTCCAGGCCACTCTCTCCGGGCGCCTCCGCATCCCTGTGCCCATGGTCTCCTCACCCACTTAAAGGCGAATGCCACAGCCCCCATAAAGCCCAGGGCCTCGGCGGCACCCTCCCTCCAGCCGTCTGCTCCCCCGGTTCCTCTGCGCAGCAGCCACTAGACCACCTCAACCCAGATGGGGGTGGGACCAGCTGTCCCCAGCCAGGGGGAGCGGCCACACCCTCCTCACCTCCGGAGCCCCTTCAGCACCCACCGGGGCGCTCAGGGTCAGCTGGGCAGAGCACAGGCCAGCTGGCTCCAAGTCTTTTGCCGGGTGAGCCCTTGCTGCTCTGAAACGACGGAGGTCGCTGCAGTCCTGTCCAACTCAAACCTTCCGTGGCTAGAATGCAGGTGGTGCTAACTTGGAGGCCTCGGGAAGCAGGGGTTGCACAGTGCCTCCCGCGTTGCCTGCGACCCTACTCTCCGCAGTAACCTGCTGAAGAGCGGAGAAGCCGGACCTGCCTACAGACGGGGTGGGGGCACACAGCTCTCAGGGAAACGGAACACAAACAGGGCTGCACGGTGCAAGAAGACCGGGGGGATGGCTAGCTCGGGTCTGTCTGAGGAACGGGGTGGCCAGGAGGAAGCGGAGGGAGGGAGGGCAGAGCCCAGCCTCCCTGCCTGCCAGGCAGCGGTGCTGAGGGCCTGGGCTGGGCAGCCGCCCTCTGAGGAGGCTGAGGACAGGGTGGAAGACTTGTTAGGACCCAGCACAAGAGGAGGGCCCGGCCCCTTGCTTGTTTCCAGTCGCTGGCAGCGTGCTACCCCAGGGCAGGGAGCCTACTCCTCTAGGCCCGGAGCCCTGGGTAGACCTGCGCGCAGGCTGGGGCTGGGGCCGAATGGAAGAGCAGGACGTAAAATCATATTTTATTCCATTAAAAACAAACCCTCCCTGCATCTAAAACTGTCCATAATTTACAGTCTAAATAAAAGCAGTGAACATAAATAAGGAAGAGGAGGTCATTTCTGAAGGAAGTAAACCCTGAAAAATAAAGGAAAAAAAATAAATTTCAAACAATTTTCATGTTTTCCCCAATTAAACAAAGTGCCCAGCCCTCCCTCTGACAGGCACGTTGGTCCTGAGGTCTGTGTTGAGTCACTTCGACCCCGATGAGGGTGAGGGGTACGTGTCGATGGGAGGACTGTCACCCCAGGACCTCTGAGGGTACCAGGCAGGCCCAGGCTATCACCCACTGGAGACCCCTCATAGCCCTGTGGCTCTGGGGAAGGGCCCCCTTTCTCACCTGCTTGCCCTCAGCCCAAAGTGTGCCCTCACTCCCCATGTGCTGGCTCTCACACACCCCTCCCCCTGCCTGGAGCACCTCATCTTGCCCCCCCCACACACACACTGTTCCTCATCCCCCCGGCCCTGACGTGGTGGTGGACCCCAGCAGCACCTGCTGTATCGCTGAGCAGGCTGCAGGCGACAACCAGCCTCAGATGCAGCTCCACCTGCAGCCTTTGCTTTAGGTTGTAACCCTGAGAAGACACTCGCAGAAGCTCCGCCTCCACCCCAAGGACCGGTGACTGGGCCAGGCCCCAGGCTGAGGCTGAACTACACATTCCTTCTCTAATGAGGGTGTTCACCTTCTTTTCAGAGGACTAAACAGGTTCACATGGCCACGTGCCACCCAAGGCCACACAGGTGATGAGCTCAGAGACCTCGGTGTAGACCCAAAGGCCAGACTTAGAACTCATGGCCTGTGTACCCCAAGCTACCCCGAGGTCCCTGAGGTCTGCACGCCCTTCTCAGAAATGCCCACCACAGCCCCGGTGGAGAAACGAGTACCTGGCGCCTCAGCTTCTGGCTCACCATGGCGGGGAGGGAGAGTGGGAGGACCCTGGGCCTGGCATGAAGGGACCCTGGTGCCAGGGCCACCTTGCCCGACAGAGCCATCTCTCACTGTCCCCAGAGGTGTGTTCACTGGGTGTGAGGACGTAGGCTGAGGGGCAGTCACACTGACACAGAGCGGACCCCCATCCCATCAGCTCTCCTCTGCCTCCTAGAGGGGCCTGTCCAGGAAAGAGGGCACGCGGGGTGTCCTGGGTCACAGCTCAACTGTCAACGACTCAACACGGAGCCTCTGGAAGCACACATTGGGGAGGCGCCTTCAGAGCTGACGCATGTCACCCTCAGCTGAGCCGCTTTCTCAGTGGTCCGCCACACAAAGGCCCTATACGCCTCTGTGGGCCCCAGCCCAGGGCCTGCTGTGAAGGCGGCCGGCAGCAGGAGAGCAGCGGCGCCTCCCGCAGGTGACCATGAGGGAGAGGAGGGCTTGTGGGTGGCCTCTGCTCTAGGCAGCGCCAGGAAGTCTGGGTGTGTGACGCATCGCACACGCCGATGCCTAGCTCCCATGGTGTGGCAGAAGGGGGTGAAATGCCAGCTCTTTCTGAAGTGACCACAAGAGCTTAATGAAATTAGTTCCTCAGAAATGCCCCATTGTGTCACTTCAGGCAGCCAGGGACAAGACGGCCTTGGGAAAATCTCCTGGCGAGCCCTGTTCTGGTCTGAGAGCCAAGTCAAAGCCTCACTGAGGGAGCAGCAGAGGACCGGGAGGGGCTCTTTCAGCAAGGACGGCTCTGACGGGCAGGGCTGTCTCTGAGAAGCCCCCACAGGAACTTGGCTAGGAACTCCCCCTGCACAACTCACCCTCAGGACAGGAGAGAAACAAGCGCGTCCAGAAACTTGCCCCGATCCTCTGCTTTCAGTTCAATTACTAAAGTAATGAAAGAAAAACATCTTGTCAGACGGAAAGGCGGCTGTGTGGGGGAGTGGGGCTGGCAGTTAACATGAAATGAGAACATAGGGCACATGAACTCATTCTCACCGACTCTCCAACACACTCCCGAACTTACCACTGTCCTGGCCAGGGTCTGACTAACTAGCTAACCCAATGCCACCAAATCGATGCCTATTCATAGTGACCCCGTTAGGTTTCTGAAGCGGTAAATCTTTACAGAAGTAGATTGTCCCATCTTCTTTCCACGGAATGGCTGGTGGGTTTGAACCACCGACATTCTGGTTAGCAGTCAAATGCCTTGCCTGCGCCACTAGAGCTCCAGGAGGCTGCATCGCCCCGTCTCACTCTATTCGGTGCCAAGGAACTGTCAGCTACACGGCACATCAAGCACGTGAAATACACGGAGCTGCTTGAGGTTATGCACCTCAGCATAGTGCCAAAGCCAGGATCCAAGCCAGAGGGGACAAACCAGCTCTAAGATGACCAAGGCAACTTGAACAAAGCCTGCTCTGTGAGGACAGTAATTAACACTGAAGAAACTAGATGATGCTGCTGTCAGAAAACACTCTTTTGGAGAAGTGCAGACTGAAGCATTATAGGGGTGAAGGGTCAAACGTCTGTTTTACTTTAAATTCCCCCAGCAACAATGAAAAGGCCAATATGGCAAAAAGTGAATCAGTCCTATGCTGGTATTGGGAATGGGATGGGGGTGGGTAGGGTGGGTAGGGTACCCCCAGCTACGGGCCAGGCAGGGATTTCCCATTTCTTAACTAAAACTTAGGTGACTCGAAATTATTAAAACAAACAAACAAACAAAAGACCAGGCTTGCTGGTCTGAGAGAGCCTGGTGAGACCTCTGAGACTACCGCCCCTAGCTACCCTTCAGGTCTGGAACTGAACTCACTCCTATGGCTTCTAGCCAAACAATAGACAGGCACATGGGGTGAACATTTACATCAGGTAGATACTCTCCTTAGAGCAATAAATCTGGGAGAACAGAAGGGCAGTGTTTGCACAGGGAGACAGCTCAGGGGGCAGGAGTGCATGGGAGGGAAGGACACAGGGAAGAGGTCACTATAGGGAGGAAGTGGGAAGAGAGCGGTTACATGGTGGGGAACTACAGTCAATGTCATGAAACAAAATGTGTATGAACTGCTGTATGGAAAATGAACTTGCTCTGTAAACTTTCACCCAAATCACAATAAATTAAAAAAAAAATCCTAAGATGGGCAGTGTCAAGTCAGCACACAGGGGACCACAGTGTCACCCAGCTGCCATGCCATCTGACCCCACTGGAACTGGAGGCAGAAACCCTCCTGACAAGATGCAGCACAGTTGTGGAGCGGGTATCCCCCCAGTAGCCATAGGCCCCACTGTTTTCTTCTCCTTTGCAGAGGCAGGAAATGGCCCTGATCTGTGAGGCTGGGAACAGGAGGGACTGTAGGGTCACCCGGCTGTGTTAGCAAAGGGAGCTTGAAGAGACTGGATTGAAAAGGGACCAGGCCCAGGTGGGAGGGCGTAGCACACCAGGGCTCCTCAGACATCCCTTGAATCCCAAGTCAGCACTGGCTTTGGTGGGGTTAGCAAGGGATGTGTGCTCACAGTGGTGGTGGGGGAGGCTCTTACCAGACAGGTCAAAGTGGTTGTGCAGGGTCTGGGAGCTGGTGCTCTCTGCAGCCTTCTCAAACGCCCTTCCGAAAAAGCTGCCAGCACAGGAGGGACAGATTGGGCAACGGTCCACTTGCAGCGACTCTTCCCATCACCCTACACCCCCACGAGACACCAGAATCAGCCCAGACTCCCCCAGCCCCTCACTGGCTATGCCCCAGTCTGTAGTTCTCTCTCTCCCTGACCTGCCCTCCGAGGGCCTCCCCACCCACCCCCTGGACGGTTGCAGTGGCCACCTCTGTCTCCCTGCATCCAGATGAGCCTGTACCAGTCCCAGGTGTGTGTTAGCTTCAAGGGCCCCTTGGCCTGCACTGTAGCCCTTGGCTGGGCTCTGGGCCCCACATCTGTGCTCTGGCTGTTCACTACACGCTCCCTCTATGTGCGCGCCTGTGGTTCTTTCTGACCGGAGCCACTCGGTGCAGATCTTGTGGCACCCGCACCCCTCGACTGTGGCCAGTCCGGATTGAGCATCCATTCCATGACAGCCTTCACATGTACAACCTTGACCGTGCATCTTCCCACATGCCTGACACTGTGTGGTGTCCATGGCAAGCCCAGAGACCTAGGGGCCAGTGGGGCCAGCCAGCCTTCAAATATGAGCACATGCACCTTAGATAAGACCAAGGTCACAGTGGGCAGGCAGCGGGGGAAGCCTTCAGGGCTTAGGCGATGAGACTGGAAGGGCACCCAGGAGGGCAGGGAGCAGGGACACCCAGGATACAGCCAGCCAACACTGACAAGAGGGTGCAGGTTGGTGGGAAGGCAGAGGAGAGGCCACAGGCGAGGGTTCCCAGTGGAGGAGAGTGACGTGGGAAAGGGTTTTCCATAGCTTCTGGCCGGCATGCCAGTCCACTGTCACATATAAGGGACTCACGGGTGGTGGCATGTGTCAGTTAGAGCTGTCTAGCGTGACTATGGCACAGCAATAAAACCTGGCTAAAGTGAATAAACAGGTGGCTGCAGCAGCTGCGGGAACCCAGGCCAGGACCCCCTGATCAGGTACCACACCTCCCAGTTCCAACCTTCCTGACTCATCATGGATCGCCTGCAACCCAAGACCCATGGTGCAGCTTTGAAAAGCACTGTCTTAAGAAAGCTCATTCCCAGCTTCTGGCTGATAAAGATACTCGCCTCTTTCAACTTCCTACTAAACTACCTATGCAGAAATAGAAGGTCAAAGGCTCGGGACAGCTGAGCTAGGAGTGACTTAAGACTCTAGGATCAATGTCCTCCAAGAAGAGGCCGCCAAGAGTTGACAACAGTGAGCAGGTTGCCCACATTGTCATGCAGAAGAGTGCTATAGGCCACAGGTGGCCTTCGAGCCCCCACAGTACCGTGCAGGCTACGGGATCAGCAAGCTGTTGGACAGCTTGGCGTTTACTTGAGGGTCCCCTCTTGGGATGTCATGGGAGCTCTGGGGGCAGTGCACTAACTGGATCTGGGAGTCAGAGACCTCTTGGAGTGACAACAGTGGTACAGCAATGGACCCTGGGATTAGTGTCCACGTTCTGGGTGTAGAGCACGAGGGGGCAGTGGGAACACCCCAGAGCATCAGAGCTGGGCCCAGCTGCCCCCCACCTTGCCTCCAGTCTGCCCCATGTCTGGGTGGAATGAGGAGGGAACCTAGCCCTGCAGGAAGAAGCGGAGAAAAATAGCCTTGAAGGCATACGGAAAGGCTAGGAAAACATCTTAGAAGACAGCCAGAAAAGCTTCTTACCGTAGCAAGATGAACCCTCAGAACCCAGATCCACTGCTGCATCTTGTGGGAGTCACAAGTCAGAGCCAGCCCCAACGCCCACAACAGACCAGCCCAGTAGGCTGTCCTCTCCCTGACAGATGGCACAACTACTACAAACGTTCTTCATACAAATCTACGCAACAGCGGTCTGGTGCTCAGGGATGAAATGAAACAGAAGGCAGCAAGCGTAAATTGGCTCTTCCAGACTCTAACCAGAGGATGGGCCAAGGTGACAGTGAGCTCGGCACCAGTGGGGTCTGGAGGGCAGGTGGCCACACCCCAGACACCTTGGTCAGCGGGAGGCTCTCCATTTGCCTTTTGTGTTTGAGCTCTGGTGACGGAATTTTGAAATGCACAAGCATGTTCTGAAACCAGGGACACAGTGAGCAGTGTGCTCTGTTTCCGGGTGGCGCTGGAAGCATGCTTTGGGCCAGCCATGCGGGGGCTGGGGGGAAAGGTTAGGAGACATTTTCCCGCTCACCCCAAGGCTTGTGAGACTCAAACAAGACAGGAAATGAGCACTGACAGGGCCTTTCAAAGACAAAGACACCATGTTCACCTGGGCTGGAGGAGCCCTGCGGGTGAGGCCTAACTCCCAGGCGTCTGACCTGAACTTCCTCCGGTTCTCCTTACCGACTGCACGTTCCTGAGAAGGGGTCCAGGCCTGGGAAAGGCTGGGGGTCTGGCCTGAGGCTGTACGGGAGCCAGGGCCCCTGTATCTCAATGGCAGCACAGTCCATCTTTGGTGCTCTGAGGCCTTGTCTGCTCTTGTTCAGGATCTGGGGGCAGAGCAAGGCCATTCATCCCCATCTCTATGCTCCCCTATACTGTGCTGGAAGGAGGGTGACTGAGAGATCTCAAGTTCCAATGCAGCAGAACCTGCCCCGGAGCCCTTGTTACGAGGCTCACCCTGTTCTCTCCTACGCGCCTTCAGAAGAACAAGACTCCTGATGACCTGCTACCATGATCTCATGTAAATACTTCTGGGGAGCCGGCGAGGGGCAGGGCACAGTTGCCCAGCAGCCTCTGTCACTTGGGCCACTGTCACCAGCTCCCATGGCACCTCAGGCAACCTTGCCGCCATGTGGGCCACACTTACGGCCACGCACTGTCCCCCGCCCAGAACCCATCCTCTGTGGTGATGGTGGTCCTTGTTCCCGTCGTGGGTCATGCCTGCCCTCCCATCACTGCCTGCTCCCTTAAACCCTGCAGACTGGACCCAGGCACAGTCACCCCTGGGTGTCCTGTTCAGGGCAAGCCCTCAGTTGAGACCCAAAGACTGGGTTTGCTGTGCCCATCACTGATGGAAGATGAACTGGATGCATTTCAGTCCAATCCAGGTTAAGACAAAAAAAAAAAAAGATTGACACCAACTCGCAGCTCTTACAGCCCTGTGGTGCAGTGGGAAAGGCTGGCTTGGCAGGGCCAAGAGGCTAGCTGGTGACATGCCCCTGGAGGACAAGCCTGCTCACTTCTTTCTGTCTGAGCTGTCGGTCTCTGGGGGGATGCCCACCACGGTCACCGTGCCCTGCTCCGCACTCAGAGGGGCGGCCATCACCAAGGGCAGCAGCTTGCAGCGCCGGTTCTTTGTCTGAGGAAGTAAAGCAAAGCTGTAAGGGACACACCCTCCAGCAGAACAGCACGGTGACAGCCCATGACACAAGGCGCAGCCAGAGCCAGCCCTGCTCCCCCAGGCATGTTGGGAGGGGCGGGGCTCGCAGGGCCTGATCATGGCATTCCCACAGCCCTTATCCGAGTCCCACTTTCTTCTTTTTTTTCATTGTAATTTGGGTGAAAATTTACAGAGCAGACACACTTTCCATACAGCAGTTCACATACACTTTGTCTTGTGATATTGACCACAGTTTAGCCAATGCAACAGCTCCCCTCCCACTTCCTCCCGATAGTTACCTCTTCCCAGTGTCCATCCCTCCATGCACTCCTACCCCCTGAGCTGTCTCCCCGTGCCTGAGCAGCCCTTCTTTCTCTCATGCTTATTCTCTCCAAGGAGTGT